AACAGTATTTCAAGGTGGAATTTGACCAAAATTTCTAAGTGTTCTCATCTGACCTTTTTTTTTTCCTCAAAGTGAAAATCATGAACAGTGTTGGCCTAAAAAGGGCAATGGGGACAGTATCCTCTGGGGGGTCACTCTAGTGTTGCCTCCACAGGGTATCAGATTTTTAGAATCTAATGTTTTGTTGACCTGAACCTTGGCGTATCCCTAAAAATTTCTAAAAGTCTAACAAGTGTTTCTAATTAAATTCCCTTCCTTACCTTTTTTGTTTTATTTTTGTGCCTTGTAGAAGGAAGGAATGTTTCCTATTAGATTTTTGATCTGGGAAAACAGAATTCCGTAACTTTACAGAAGTAGAATATTGGTATCTTTATTGTAATTTAGGAACCTTACTGGTGATAATTAATTGCAACTGTATCTTTGGAATGCTGAATTGAAAATTCTTGGGGTGGAGCCAAGATGGCATAATAAAAGCAGTGACTTTCTTGAGCTCTCCCCCAAACCCCTCCAAGTATGTGTAAAAAATGGCTCTAAAGAAATTCTAGAGCAGCAGGACCCAAAAAAAGACTGAAACAAATTTCCAGCCCAGGCAAGAAAAGTCTGTTGCGCTAGTCTGGGAGATGAACAAATGTAGTTCAGCTTATCCTATGCAGGCTGAGCAGGCAAAGAGCCAGCCTTAGCTAACCTGGAACAGTGCTCAGGGGATTTAATTAAGGGGAGCTGTGGTGGTTTCCAGCCTTCTCAATCCACAAACACCAAAGACAATTTAGGAGGTCAGTAGGAAAGGAAGGGGGGGGTGTGTGTGTGTGTGTGTGTGTGTGTGTGTGTGTCTGTCCACCCAACCCTGGGGCAAAAGCTGCTTCTGGAGCTCTCTACCCACAGATGGAAGGGGGATTGAGCTGCTGATCAGAGGGGGACTGCAGGAATCTCTTTGCTGGTACTGAGGCAAGATTCTTTTCCTTTTCCTGTGCTTAGATCTGGGTTGCAGGCCTGGGTAGTGATTCTGGGGTGAGAAGGAGCTCAGGCCTGGCGAAAGTTGTGGTAGGCATGGAGAGGGAATTCTCCTCACAGTTCCAAGGCAGAAAAGAGTGCTTATGGTCACTCATACACCAGAGCACAGGACAGGAAACGAATAAACACTTCACCTTTGATCATACCGCCTAGAAAAACTGAAAACTTACAGGTCCCTAGAAGTAACTCTGAAAACAGCTGCATAAAAACCTCCAAAGCTTGGGACAGTACATTCTCCACACTGGAAGCAGACTCTTACCTTAACAAAGAGTTTAAAACTCAAGTAACTGGCTGGGATCATGAGCAAACAGCACAAAAAAAGTCAAACCATAGAATCTTTCTTTGGTGACAAAGAAGATCAAAACATACAACCAGAAGAAGACAACAAAGTCAAAGCTCCTTACATCCAAAGCCTGTAAAAAAAAAAATGTGAATCAGTCACAGGCCATGGAAGAACTCCAGAAGGATTTTGAGAAGCAAGTAAGAGAAGTAGAGGAAAAATTGGGAAGAGAAATGAGAGTGATGCAAGAAAATCATGAAAAACAAATCAACAGCTTGCTAAAGGAGACCCAAAAAAATACTGAAGAAAATTAACACCTTAAAAAATAGCCTAACCCAAATGGCAAAAAGAGGTCCAAAAAGCCAATGAGGAGAATGCCTTAAAAAGCAGAATTGGCCAAATGGAAAGGGAAGTCTAAAAGCTCACTGAAGAAAATACTTCCTTAAAAAGTAGAATGGAGCAAATGGAAGCTAGTGACTTTAAGGAAATCAAGATATGATAAAACAAAATCAAAATAATGAAAAAATAGAAAACCATGTGAAATATCTCATTGGAAAAACAACTGACCTGGAAAATAGATCCAGGAGAGAGAATTTAAAAATTATTGGACTGTCTGAAAGCCATGATCAAAAAAAGAGCCTAGACATCATCTTTCAAGAAATTATCAAGGAAAACTGCCCTGATATTCTAGAACCAGAGGGTAAAATAGAAATAGAAGGAATCCACAGATCACCTCCTGAAAGAGATCCCCAAAGGAAAACTCCTAGGAATATTGTAGCCAAATTCCAGAGTTCCCAGGTCAAGGAGAAAATATTGCATGCAGCCAGAAAGAAACAATTAAAGTATTGTGGAAACACAATCAGGATGACACAAGATTTAGCAGCTTCTACATTAAGGGACCGGGAGGCTTGGAATATGATATTCTGGAGGGCAAAAGATATAGGATTACGACCAAGAATCATCTACCCAGCAAAACTGAGTATAATCCTTCAGGGGGGAAAATGGTCATTCAGTGAAATAGAGGACTTTCAAGCATTCCTGATGAAAAGACCAGAGCTGAATAGAAAATTTGATTTTCAAATACAAGACTCAAGAGAAGCATGAAAAGTTAAATAGGAAAGAGAAATCATAAGGGACTTATTAAAGTTCAACTGTTTACATTCCTACACGAAAAGATGATATTTGTAACCAAACCTTTGTCAGTATTAGAGTAGTTGGAGGTGAAAAATATGTATAGATAGATAAAGGACACAGGTGAGGTGAAGATGCAGGGGTAATATCAAAAAATAAAATTAAAGGGTGAGAGGATTATACTAGGAGAAGGAAAAGGGGAGAGGTAGAATGGGGTAAATTATCTCACATAACACAGACAAGAAAAAGTTTTTACAGTGGAGGGGAAGTGGGGGAAGGTGAGAGGGAATGAGTGAATCTTATTCTCATTGGATTTGGCTTAAGGAGAGAATAACATACACACTCAATTGGGTATGGAAATCTATCTTACCCTACAGGAAAATAGAGGGGAAGGGGATAAGAGAGTAGGGGATGATAGAAGAGAGGGCAGATTGGGGGAGGCGGTAATCAGAAGCAAACCCTTCTGAGGACGGACAGGTTCAAAAGAGAGAATAGAATAAACAGAGGATGGGATAGGATGAAGGGAAATATGGTTAGTTTTTCACAACTGGACTACTATGGAAGTGTTCTGCGTGCCTGCACGTGTATAACCTGTATCAAGTTGCTTGCCATCTCAAAGAGGGTGAGTGGGGAGGGAGGGAGATAATTTGGAACCCAAAGCTTTAAAAACAAATGTTAAAAATTGGTTTTACAAGCAACTGGGAAATAATATATATATATAGGCAATGGGGTGTAGAAATCTATTCTTCCCTATGGGGAAATAGAAAGGGAAGGGGATAAGGGAAAAGAGGGGTGGTAGAAGGGAGAGTAGATTGGGGGAAGGGGTATTCAGAATGCGTGCTGTCTTGGGGTGGGGGGAGGGGCAAGATGGGGAGAAAATTTGGAATTCAAAATCTTATGGAAATGAATGTTGAAAACTAAAAATTAATTTAAAAAGCTAAAAAAAATGTCTTATTTCTCTGTTCCACTAAGAAACCACAATTTTTATAATGATGCTTTGGTTTAATCAATTATAACAGCCCTGTGCAATCAGCTGGCTTTGGATTCAGGGAACATTATGAATTTAAAGCTTCAGATTCGGATGGACTGCTTTATTCTTGGAAATAAGAGACTTTGATAGTGATTTGATTTTTAATAAAATGTCAAAGTTTTCAGAGTATTTGGCTCAAGTGAGATAACATGTAAAGGACTTTAAACTTCAAAGCAGTATATAAATGATAACTGTTGTAGATAATATGATAGCCCTATTGTAAGCATATAAATAACAACTCTGGTCTTCCCTAGAAACTTAATAGACTGAATAAGTTTAAAAATTTGTAAATGCCTGGAACATATCAGCCCTCTTACCCCTCTGTAAAGGACAAGACTCCCCATGTTAAGTTGGTTGGTCATCTGGCATGCATTACAAAAGTCACAGAGTAAAGTAATACTGTAGATGTCATTAAAGCATTTGGTATAGTTACTCACAAAAGCCACCTTGGAACCAAGATTCCTTCCTGGATTCCTAGGTTAATTGCTTGGAGGAGCTGACACTTATCTCCTAAACCATAAATGTCAGTACCCATGTGGATCTGTGATCCCTCCAGTGATGCCCATCCCGTTGCTCTCCCTGAGATCTGGTGCCTTTCTGAAGATCCGTCATCACTAGCTGACCTCGCTAGCACTGGCTAGAGCTTCCCTCCCATCCCTGTCACTCTAGGCCTGCAAGAGGAGTCTGGACGCTCCTGGTTCCACAGGGCCATTCAGACTCCCTTTTGCCTCTTTAAGTAAACCTTTCCTTTTTCGAAAACTGTTCAGTTAAAAGTTTCCATCCCATCAAAATTATAATGTGTGACGAATACCAACTCTCAAGTCATTCTCCGTGAGTTTACCACCTGGTCCAGCAGCTCCCTCTTCTCACCTACTCCTGCCGTTTTCCTAGGGGACTTTAGTCTCATGCAGCATCTCCCTTCAATCTCACCCTGCCTTCCTGTTTCCTCAGCCTCCTTAGCTCTGGTGACCTTCTTCTCAGCCACTTGTAGGGATGATGACACAGCAGACCATGCCATTACCCACAAGCCTTCACTTCCTGAATTGGAAACCCTGCCATTTTTCTGTCTGACCATCACCTAAAATTCTACCTCCATTATGTCTCCCCTCCCCCCCAATCTGCTTTTCACCCTCTTCATCTCCTCCACCCCTCTGTTTTCTGAGGCCATTAGTCCTGCTCTGAGTTTACTCTCCTCTTTCTCCACCCCAACCCAGCAATTTGCCTTTTCATTTCTATGCCACCTCCAGCTCTTGACTCCTTTACCTTGTTACCTGTCACTGCTCATCTTGACAAGCCTTAGCCCTGGATTGCTCCCACTTTCTGCTTTCTCCATGTCTACTCACAAGCAGTTCAGTGCAACTGGAGAAGATTTCACACTTGTGCTACCTGGGCACATTGCAAATTCATATTTTCCTGTTATCTGTTTGGGCTAGGATTTGAATTCCAGTCTTCCTGACTCCCATGGCCAACAGTCTACTCCCTTTTTTATCCCCCAGTACTACATTTTCTTGCTCTTCCCTGACAAGTCATTGCTGTTTTCCTTTGCAGCCTGCTTATATCTGCCATGCCACCTTCAATTTCTCTTTTGAGTTTTTGGCGATTTTGATTTTCCTGAGATTGTGGAGGCTCATGATCTGCAACCAGAAAGCATCGCTGGTAGGTAGAGTACTGTTGTCGAGATAGGATTTTGTGATCTGTGGGTCAGGTGTGATACAACTTGCTCTCCTCTTCCTACTCAGTTCTGGGCCCAGCCAGTTGTCCATCCATTTTAAAGAGCCTAGTAATCAGGCTTTTTGTTTGGTCACATGTCACGACACCAGAGAGTAGATACTTTCAGCTTCTTTGTTTTTTGATGTGAATGAGTACTTAGACTGATCTCATTTCTGTTACTAAGAATTTCACCTTTTGTAAGAATTAGAAGGCTGCCATTGTACATTTTGTTTTCTGATTCTGAAAGAAGAGGAATTGTGAAAGTAATTTGGAAGGCTTTGGAATTATGAATAAGTTTATATTTGGGGGAAAAGGGAATTTGGGAAAATCTGAAGAGAAGCTGAAGGGTCTGAGGACAAGATGGAAGAACTAGACCATGTGAAGCACTTGAAATGTAGAAGGGGAAGGAGTAAGAGAAGGGAGAAGCAGTTGGTTATGGCTCTTATGAGATTAAACTATTTAAAAAGGTGAAAAGAATGAAAACCTTGGCAGTCAAATCCTTCATGGACACACAGAGCACATCTCCAGCACAGTAAGAGAACAGAGCTGAAACAGCAAAAAAAAGAGCAAAGTCTCAGCCTCTCCCTCCCAGGAAGTTGGAAGAGCAGGGAGACCTTTGTCATGGAGGGCATCACATCATTTTTGTAGTTTGGGCGTGACCAGCAGCCTGGCCCCTATTCTCAAAAGAAACTATAGGACCTCACAGAAGACATCTCTTCCTTCTTAGTTCACCGGGACAGTGAAATGGAGGAAAGGAGTCACCTTTTTTAAAAAAGAGAAGAAAAGGCTTGGAAGAAGTTAAGGTAGTAAAGTTTGGATTCAGTCAAAGGGCCACACTTGAGGGCCTAGACAGCCACACGTGGCCTCGAGGCTGAAGTTTCCCCATCTTTGGGTGAAGGGGAAGACCAATATTTGTCAGAGAGAATGTCAGTCCTCCAGAGGAAAAAGAGAAGACGGACCATGAAATGTTTGGAGCTAAGAAGTCAACTTGAGCCACTTCTTGCTTTGAAGAGGCCAGAAGCCCTTAGCCTACAGCGATGAGGACATCAGACCCCAGCTGCTGTCAGGGGAGAGATTGCCCACCAGGTAAGAGGCCGAGGGGGCATAGAAGCACGTGTTTGACAGTGGGCATGTTTACACTCTTCCCAGTACCATCTTCCCAGAGTGACCTAATGGAGGAGTACTACACCTTTCTGATGACTGTTTGGGGTACCAGTGATATTGTCAGAAGGATTGGAAGAAGCAGGCCAAAGACTGGCAGGTCTGGGGAAGGAGACTTCAAGCCTTAGGGCCCTGTGGAGATTTGTTTATCATGGAGGCACTCTTGAAGTTTGAGCCTTTGCCATTATTTAAAATTGTGAGCACCTCCCATGACAGGAGTTGAATGGATAGTTCTTCAATTCAAACCATTCCCCAATTTCATCACTGGGTACAGAGGTTCTTTTGCACATTAAGAGAAACTTAACTACATCCAATGTTTATGCAAAAAAAAAAAGTGTGGGGGCTAGTTAGAATTCTTTAGGATCAGGGCCTGACAGGAAAGGTTTCAGCTGCCCTCTTGAAGTCCTGACCACTAGTAAATCTTATCTGAGGGCCACCTTTTCCTGGCTTCCTCAGGTTCTCTCATTTGTCAGCCAGGGAAATTTTTCAGCTAGCTCACTGAGGTTAGTCATGCCTGGGCTTTGCTTGCCTGGCCATTGTTAAAGGTCACTATTTCCTATGCTCAACTTTTGTTAAGAACTAAACATTTTGTTTTGAAAAGATTTTTCTCTTAAAGAGTCTGTTTTTAAGTTTTTTTCAGTGGTAGAACTGTGAATTTATTTAGTCACTTGGATAAACTGTTGGCTTTCCTAACTGCTCTCCCGTGTGGTAAAACATCTCATAGTACTTTGGAAGAGGAAATTCTTAAAAGAGAATTAAGCTAAAAATACTTTGTGTTTATTTCATTCACATATAATTGATGCATATGGTACTTTGTAGTGGTGGAAGAAAAGATATCTGGTTTGGGTTTTGGTTTTTTTTTTTTCCGTTTTGTAGAGAAAAAGGCCTAGTGTCTGCTGCCGGAGATAGAGGATCATTCCAGCTGTATATATGCAATTTTAAAACCTTTTGAATACTGGAGTGTTAAGTATATACCATATAACAGTTTTAGAACTTTCCTTTGAAACCTTAATATAACTTAAAGTCCTTGCTGCGGGAATAACAGGGGCACTTCTCATTCTCTCACACCAAATCAGTTGCCAAAGTCATTTTACTTGTGCACTGCTCTGAACTTGGGACCCATCTGCTCAGTCAACTCCAGAGACTTCCTGTTGCCTAAACTCCTCCATTTAGCTGTTAAAGCCCGACAGAAGCTGAACCTGACTTGCCTTTCCAGACATTACTTCCCCTACTGCATTCCTTAATCAGGCCAAACTGGCCTTTTCTCCACCTGCAGTTTCTGTGTCTCCACATTCATCATCCCTCAAGCCTGAAATTCACTCCCTCCTTCACTTTTGTCTCCAAGCCGCTCTCCTTTTAAGACTCAGCTCAGGAAACCTTTCCCGATTCGACCTCCCCCCCAACTGCTAGTGCCTTTTATTTAACCAAGGGAGGGTAGGAGTGGAAGTATAAGCATATACACGTGTTAACATTGTGTTTGTGGTGGGTGCGTTTTGTACACGGGCTTCTTCTGTCCCCCACTCACCCCCATGTGAGTGCCTTGTGGCTGAGCATTGTTTCCTTCATTGTCCTTCTGTCCTCAGCGCTTAGTGCAGCACCTGGAACATAGTAAGCACTCAGGAAATACATATATATATATATATATATATATGCATTTAAATTACTTCATACCTCAAAGAAATGAGAAAACGAGGTAGAAAAGCCTGTGTTCTGAGGATGAATTAAACAACTCTACATATTAGTCATTCACTGTGTGCTGAGCACTGTGCAAGGGAAGTAAAGACAGCCTTTGGTCTCAAGGAGCTCATGGTGCTGTAAACAGAAGGCACGTCCATATGTACCTGCAGTAAAAGTCAGAGTATGTGAAGTACACGTGAGGGTTCAGAGAGAGAGAAGTTTAGCAAATAGGGAATCGCATCTAGCTGAAGGAATTCTCGATGACCAAATCATCTGTGATCTTTCTTATATATTCCACAAGATTTATGGTGTTATCTGATAATTCTAAGGGTGTCAAATGAACATAGAGAAAAAAATCCTATACCTTAGAGCCTGTTACCTAGTTCAGACATACAGGAAGTCTGATGATAGGAGGCAGGGTTTTTGTGGGTCTTAACTGTGGGCCAGACTCCATGCTAAGCACCTGGGATAGAGCAACTTCCCTTATTTTGGGGAGACAACATATGGATAGATGTGTGTATGGATAAAAAGATAGGTGGGTGGGTAATAGAGCAGGCATGTGTTAAGCACTGGCTGTCACACTGGGCCAGGCACTGGGGATACAGATAGGCAAGACAGTCCTTGCTCTCAAGACCTTTACATTCCAATGAAGGAAGACATAAAGTAGAGCTGGGAAGGTGGGGCAGAAATAGGAGCTCCTCAGAAGCTTACCTATCACAGCCCCAGGATGGGGATGTGGTGAGTATACGGAGTAGTCCGGTTTACCAGCGGGGAGGATGTAAAGGTGCCGGTTAAATAGGGAAAGCAAGGTTTGGAGGGTGCCTTAAAGTGAACACATGCTGTTTATGTTTAAGTAGAGATGGGTGATCATTCATATAGGGGAGGTCTAGATGAGGAAGTTTCCTCTACCCGTGTGGGTTGGTTTAACACCCTCTTTAAAACTGATAGTCTTACATCTCCAGAGGCCTCGGGATGGAAAATGCTGTCCACATCCAAAGACAGAACTATGGAAGTCGAATCGCTCTCACTTATTTTTACCTTCTGTTGAGTCTTGTTTCCTCTTTCTGATGGTTCCTCCTATTGGTTTTAATTTTTACTTACAACTTCACTTATGTGAAAATATGTTTAATGGGTATGTAAATGTAAAGCCTATATCAGATTGTGCACCGTCTTGGGGAGGGTGGGGGGGAGGAAGGGGGAGAAAAATTTCCAACTCAAAAGCATGTGGAAGTGATTGTGGATAAATCAAAATAAATTAATTTTTAAAAAAACTGATAGTGTTAGAAAGAGTTGCCTGGAATCCCAACTGGCTTTGCCTTGGGCTGCATAGCCAGTATGTGTCAGAGGCAGATTTTGAACTCAGCTCTTCTTGTCCTCAAAGCTGGCTCTCTATCCATTACATCATGCTGTTTCTCAAAATTAATATAATGTAATTTGGTAGAGAAGGCAGCAGCTGGGAGAATCAATAAAGCCTCATAGGAGATGGAATTTGAACTGAGTTTTGAAGGAAAATCGAGGTTCCGTGAGGTAGAGGGGAAAGTTTAGCATGTGCTCGAGGCATAGGCAACCAATCACCTGTACAAAGCAACAGAGGTGGTAGATGGAATGTCACATGGGAAAAACAGCGCTAAAAGCCTTGTTTGGCCAGAACCAGAAACTGCAGAGTGGGCTAAGTGCCAAGAGGCGGAGCTTGTGTTTGGTCTTAAAGTTAATTGTGAGCCATTCAAGTTCATTGAACTGAGGAGAGACAGAGTCAGACCTGTGCTTTATTTAGACATATGATTTTGGTAATTGAGTGAAAAATGATCCAAAAGGCAAGGTACTTCAGGCAGGGAGACCAGGATTTGGGTTGTGTTCAGATAATCTTAATAAATAGGGTTTGTTCTGAAGGCATACCCTTCCTTAACACTGCCCCCAATCAATATGGTTTTGTGGTAATACCTTTAATTTATTATAGTCCAAGTCCACTATAATCTTAACTATAAAGTCATGTCACTAATAACTTAAGCTACCAATATAGGTAGTTCTCACTCTGGATCTAACTGATCCCAGTGATATCAGTTCCTGTAGGGTCAGCTGGGTGGTGCAGTGGATAGAGCACCGGCCCT